TTTTTTTTTTAAGGATCACATGGATGTAATAATACCTATTGTAGATGAATCTTACGTATGGCCATAGTTTTTTAAAATTATCATTATTGCTGCTGGAGTTTAAACCCAGTGCCTTGTGCATGCTAAGCCTGAGCTCTGCCACTGGGCTTCACTGCCTCCCTCACCCCCGCGCCGCAGTCCTAGAAGTTTAATTGCAATCCTGTTGAATGTTGACTCTGTATGCCACCACCACCAGCTTATTATATGAGTTTCAGTTCTGAAGTGTCAGCTCAGCTGGTTTGGTTTTACCATTTTATTATAATATACTTGTGACTGTATAAGTTAATATTCAGCCATATAAATTTCTAAAATATGTTCTAAGACATTTTATAATTGAAAAATGTAAAGAAAACAGCCCTTATTTCTATTTTCAAAAACAAAAATCATGGCCTAGGGATGTAGCTCAGTGTTAGAGTGCTTGCCTGGCATGTGTGAGGCCCTGGGTTTGATCTTCAGCTTTACAAAAAAAGGCAAAAATACAAAGACTGTTTGTTCTATATTTTAAAACTTAATTTACACAGTTAAAACTAAAATGCTGTTACAGTGGTCTCTTTACATTAATGCCTACATATATTGTTAAAAATATTTATCTGTATCTGTTAAACCATGTGTTGATTCCTGCAAGTAAAACTTTAAAAGACTTTTTCTGATATTTAGGTGGTGGAAAGCATTTTGATAATAATTGATTTTTTTTTCAATTCAAGGAATTGTATGTTTCTTTCTAGAAGAAGGAAATACCACAGGTCTTTTTCTGAATTATGTCATCAGGTTTAATTTTATTACAGGGCCAGGAATTTAGCTTAGTGGTTCTGCCGCCTGCCTCGCAAGCGCAAAGACCTGAGTTCGAACCCTGGTACCCCCCAAAATAAAGTAAAAATAATTTTATTACATTATGTTCTAATTTAAACATTGGTATTGCTCACTTGCAGTCACTTAAATTGATGTAAGGTGCTTTGTGTCTTATTCTTTAAATTTTTAATAAATTGGTTTTAAAAGTCCTGGCTAACCATAACTTTTCCAACTCAGGACTGGATCTTGCTGTTGAGATTATAGTTCATTGTAGCTGTGGATTTGATATTTTAAAGAGGAGGATGTAATTGCTATTATATTTTACACTTGCTTGAAGTGACAACTCTAAAGACATTTTTAAATTGACAAAAGAACACATGGCTATTTTGATACATGTTAGAACTTGTGTTTGCTACTTTAGAAGCTTTTGTGGCAGAATTGTAACCTAATTTTCATATGTTGTATTTCTGAATCACAACAAAAAATAAATGGGAAACAAGCTTTACAGATCTGAGAACTTATTTTTCTAGAAACTTGTTTTTCGGAATGTTTTCTGAATGTTAAGCAAAATGCGAATGTTTTCTATAATGTTATCTTGACTTGGCCTTCTAAGCATTTCACAAGGTCTGATTTAAATCATTTTTAAAGGAGGTAATTTTTTGGAGTAAATGCTTGATGTTCTGAGCTCTTCAAATACGTTCTGTTTGTAGGGCTTTGATATAGGATGTATGAGTAAAAGTTTAAGAAATATGAAATGTAGGCCTGGTGTGATAGTACACTCCTGTACTTTTAGCTACTTTCTGAAGCTGGTCAGTGTGTTTGAAGACAGAGGGAATATTTTTTCGGGAGGGTACCACAGATCGAACTTAGGACCTTGTGCTTACAAGGCAGACACAATGCCACTGAGCTAAATCCCTGGCCTTCAAGGGAGTATTTTTGAGGGGGTTTAAAGGAAATGTATTTTAATGTAATACATTTTTATTAATTTAAACATTCACCATAGTTTTCCATCATATCTCAAATTCCAAATACCACCAAAATGTAGTTTAACTGTGAAAAGGGAAAATGGAAGAGAAGAGTGGGCAAGTATGACCAGGTCATGCCATATAAAAGAGTCAGATTCTAGCCTTTGCAGAGCTTTAAGCAAGCAGAAATATGAAATACCTAGATTTTAGTGAAAGATCACGGTACTGCCTGAAATTCAGTTCTAATGTTGTTAAATGATTAGGCCTTGGTCCTTTGCCATATTAGTTGAAAAATACCCCATACGAAACATTGTGGGTTGAAATATCACCCCCAAATAGCTGAAGGCCTTTACCTTACTTGAACCTAGGGTCTGTACGATACAATCAAGTTAAGGTGAGGTTATTAGGAAGGGTCCAAATCCATTATGAGTGCTGACCTTTTAAAAAGAGAGAAAATGACTAGAATAAGACCATGTCATGACAAGGGCAAAGGCAGGGATGCAATTGCAAGTCAAAGAACATCAAGGACTGCCAGCCATCACCAGGACTTAGGAAGAGAGGAGGAAAGATTCTATGCAGTTTCAGAGAAAGCATGGTTTCATAGGCACCTTGCTTTTGCTCTTCTAGAACCAAAAAATATATATAGAATATATATTTCTGTTGTGTTAAAACACCCAGTTTGTAGTTTTTTGTCACAGAAACCTCAGGAAACAAACATTGATCTTAATTTTTCTAACTTTGATAGCAATTAATATTTGAGAGATACCATACTCTGCTAAATAGTATGAGAATAAAAGTTATTGTACATAGAATGTAAATTCTTCACCTAGTCTCTTTCACTATGATGATATTATACCTTGTTTGACTCAATGAGTACAATTTCAATCCAAGAAGAGCAGTAGGTATTTGAGAAATATAAGGCAAGTTCCTACCCCTAGCTTGTTTCACCTTAAATGCAGTCATTAATTTGAAAGAAAGAAAAACTGTCATAAGCAAATTTCCTATGATTATCTTTGTAAATCAAAAGCAACACTATATGCAAATTAAAATAACGTTGAAATTCCATCTTACCTCAGAAACAATGGCTACCATCAAGAAATCAAACAGTAACAGTGGTGAGGCTGCAGGTACAAAAGAGCCTGTCACTTATTTGTTGGGAATATAAACTACTACAACCACTATGGAAATCAGTTTAGAAAGGTCTCAAAAAATTAAACTAGAAATTCCATTAGACCCAGCTGTTCTTCTTTGTATTTTCCCAAGAATTAAAAACACACTACAGTGATACATGCATACCCATGTTTATAGCAGCTAAGTTTTGGAAATGGCCTTTATGTCCAGCAACAGATGAATGGATAAGGAAAATGGTCTGGTCTGGAGTATTTCTTTGCTCTAAAGAAGGGTAAATTTGAGTCATTTGTAGGAAAATGGATGCACCCGGATATCGTAATTTTAAGTGAAACAAATCACACAAACTAAATATCACATAACTTCTCTTGTATGAGAAAGTTAAAGTATAAATAAAGAGTAAAAGATAAGACAGTAGAAAACAGGGAAATAAACCTTTTGTAAGTGGGAAGAGGAATCTAGAGATGAAGAAGAAT